TCTCTTACACAATTATAGAGATTTACATTGATTCATGTTACTTTTTTATAGTCACATGTCGGATTGACATTGATTCATCTTCTTTTTTTTTACATTGTCACCATTTTAGGGATAGCATTAATATTAGAGAATCAATTGTCATTATCTCTTACACTATTTTAGGAATTTTTTCTTCCAGCTTTAACACCCCTATTCTTTCTCAAAACGAATTGTTTGTTTTGAATGAAAGAGTTTTTCCAATTAAAGTGACATTTCAAAAAGGAATTATTTTTTTATTCAAAGTCGCCACTTGAATTGAGTTATGGTGTTCCAAGTCACCTTTTTTGTTTAATCCCTAATCAAAAGGAAATAATTCTTTGTTTGGTCTGCAACCAGAAATTAACATAAGAAATTCTTTTGACCGAGGGGAAGGTATTAGGCATTTCTCGAGTCTCGTTGTTCTAGCACGGTCTCTTTAATTGACTTATACTTATTTTTATTATTTTTGAATATATTTTATAGGTCATGACTTATTTGTTTTATATTGATGAACATTCATTTGGTCTCAACCTAGATACGTAATTGCATTCTTGGTCATGACGCTAAGAGGAATAACTGTCTTCTTCTCTCGAGTACCTCACACCTAATAATTCCAATGTACACCTCTTGATTTAAATTAATGAAAGTTTAATTATTAAAACAATTTAGCCAAGGAGCGTAACCACATCCTTGAAATTATCTTAGTGTCTCAAAAAAGATGTGTAACCACATTCTTAAGTGAAACATATATATTTAACGTGCCAAAGTGTTCGATCTAACGTTAAACATATATATTATTTCCTTATTAAGACAAAACAAATAAAGTAAAATACTAAACTTCTAAATTAAATTTTAGACCAATTTTATGTCATTTTTGTTTTTTACTATTGTTAAAGTTGATGCAAAAATTAAACATAACTTTCTAACTCAACAAAACAATACTGAATCGTAAAAATAAATATCATTGTTTTGATTGATAAAATAAAATCAAATAATTTTAATCTATTTAATTATTTCAATATCATTTTTATCTTTTACTATTCTTAAGGTTTACGTCAAAATTAAACATAAATTTTCTAATAAAACAAAATAATACTGAATCATAAAAACAAATCTCATTTTTTATTGATAAAATAAAATAAAATAAAATAAATCTATTTAACTTATTTTAGCCTAACAATTCTTATTTTATTATTATTGTCTGAATATAGAAAAGAACAATGTCATCACATTTTATTTTAATAGGTTACAACTAATTAATAGAAGTAAATAAATAGAAAATAATCGTCAATTAATGCTACATTCATTAAATAAACAATGATATAACTCTTTAACCCCATATTCATTTTAATCAAATAATAAATAAAACAAAATAATAATTTAACTAATCATAAAAATTACAACAAATTTCATAAATAAATTAATGATTTAAGGCAAAGTTGTTCCTAAAAAAAAAGTTTTGCAAAACCTTGACCGAATGTTGATTAAAAATATCCATAAATTTTTGTAGATTGTATGGGGTGATATATGTATTGTATTGATATGAAAATAAACAAAATTTGGGAAAAGATATGAATGTGTTAGGCAAATTTTTGAAAGAAAATAAAAAGGAAATGAAGTTTTTTTAAAAAAATTCTCGAGCAGATTTTTTTTTATGTTGCTCATCTATTTTATGTTTTCTCTCCTTTTTCCATTCTATTATGTATGTATTAGTATGTATATATTAATAGTAGTGTACTAGTGTAGGTGATGTGGGGGAAGATGTGAGAAGTTGTGTGTAGTGGGTTGAGGGTAATGGACAGTAATGGAGTTAAGTAAGGTTGTTATTAATAATTAATATAAAAATTATAATAAGAAGAATATGAACTAATTATTAAAATAAAATAGTAATTGAATAGCTAATATAAAATTATAATTAAGAAATATTAGTCTAAACAAATATTAAAATATATTTTTTTGGTTTCAAAATTTTAAAATAAACTAATTAAAATAAGTCAAAACTATAATATCTAAAAGAAATATTTAAGGAATAAAAAAAATAGTGTAAAACCTTATCTTCAACCAAATATTATGTGTCTACAGTTTGCCTCTCTATGACTTGAAATACGAAGTGTTTTTAGACAAAGAAGTTGACAAAACGACAAGTTTTGAACGAACACTTATCTTAAAGAAAAATATGCGACTGAGTCCTTGTTTTGGACTGCCTACATATCCCGGGTTATTAGGGAATCAAGTCATGTGCAGTTCAAGGAGATGAGGTGATAAATTGAAAGTTAAGTGAGGTTCCATTGAGGCTCCAGATCGCGGATCTTATCCTTATTTACATAAAAATGAAAAATAATAGTCGAAAGGAAAATAAATGTTCAAGCTCCTATCTATGCAACGTTTTCTTGAGTCTTCACTTGAATATTGACTTTAAGATATCACCTTGATTTTTGGGTGAGTATCCTAACCTTGAATTGGATTTGAGGTTGAACTTGCCACTTAAACTGAGCTTTTGACACTATTCATTGAAGATGTGAAGAAGTCAGCTTTTGACACTATTTATTGATCGGAACCTCACTAGTAAAAGATGTGAAGAAGTAAGGTTGTTGCATGCATTGAGAAGTTGATTCTGACCATCATGAGATTGATTATTCTAAAAAAGATTTGAAACTTTGTTCTTGAGTTTCAAATTCATGTTTCGCTAGAGGAAACCTATAAACCATCACCAATAAAAGAAATAAACAAAAATTTTGCCCAGTTTTCATTGGGAAAAACTTGTAAGTTATTATGTGGGAAGGTCCTACTAATCTCATTATCCAGGAGGGTCCTTCTAGTCCCATTATTCAAGATTGTCATTGCTATACTTTGTCCCATTATCAAGGAGAGTCCTACTAATCACATTATGAGGAGCGTTCTGCTAATCCCATTATTCAGGAGAGTCCTCCTAATCACATTATGAGAAGGGTTCTGCTAGTCCCATTATCTAGAAGAGTCCAACTAATCACATTATGAGGAGGGTTCTGCTAGTCCCATTATCATGATTATCATGCAAATTTAATTATGTAGGAGGGTCTTTCTAGTCCAATGATTCAGGAGGGTCCTTCTAATCCCATTATCCAGGTGGGTCCTGCTCCTATTATCCAGAAGGTCCTGCTACTTTCATTATTAGGAGGGTACTTCTAGTACCGTTATCCAAGAGGGTCCGGCTAATCTCATTATCCAGGAGGGTACTGCTAGCCCCATTATCCATGTAGATTCTGCTAATCTTATTATGAGAAGGGTCCTGCTAGTCTCATTATACAAGAGGGTCTTGCTAATCCCATTATCCAAGTGGGTCCTGCTATTCCCTTTATAATAGGGTCCTGCTAGTCTCATTATCTAGGAGGGTCCTGCTAATCCTATTATAAGGAGGGTCCTTTTATTCCCATTATCTAGGAGGGGCCATCTAATCCCATAATCTATGAGGGTCTTGCTAGTCCCATTATCCAGGTGGGTCTTGTTAATCTAATTATGAGGAGGGTCCTGCTAGTCCCATTATCCAAGAGGGTTCTGCTAATCCCATTATCTAGGTGGGTCCAGTTAATCTCATTTCTGAATCAACATGCTTAATTAAGACGAGATAGATGAAAAACCTTCAACAGACATTCTATATGAGCTATCCAAGCCCAAGAAACTCTTAATATTAGTTGGACACATGGGTTTAGGCCAACTTTCAATTTCTTTTATCATTTGGGTATCCACTATTATTCCATCACCAGAAACTATTTGGCTTAAGAAGGCCACACACTCAATCGAAAAACTCACACTTGGAGAACTTGGCATACAACTCCTTATCGTTTAATGTGTGAAGGACTATTCTTAGGTGACTAACATGATATTCTACATTCCTTGAACTGAATAATATGTCATCAATGAAGAAGATAACAAATATATCTAATGAAGGTTTAAAGACTTTGTTCATAAGATCTATAAACATAGCTAGTGCATTAGTCAAATCGAAGGATATGAAAAAAAAACTGATGGCAGCCTGATCTAAGATCAAATTTTATCTCATATATTGTTCTCATACATTTTTCTAATATTTGTCTTTGGAATATCACATTCCCTAACTTTCAACTGATGCCAGGCTGATCTGAGATTAAATTTTGAGAAGTAAGAAGCACCATGATGTTGGTCGAAAATATCATCTATCTTTGGAAGAGGATACTTATTCTTGATGGTAACCTTATTTGATTTGTGGTAGTCTATACATATACTAAGGAAACCATCCTTCTTTCTCACAAATTAGACCGGAGCACCCCAAACTGAGTCACTTGATCAAATAAAACCCTTATCTAACAGTTCTTTCAATTGTTCCTTCAACTCCTATAGCTCTACCGGTGTCATTCTATATGGCTGAATATAGATAGGACGAGTATCTGGGATGATGTCTCTATCGAAGTATATTTCTCTCTAAGGAGGGACTCCGCAAAGATCAGTAGGAAAGGCTTGTGTAATCTCTTTTACTATAGCAACTGATAGAAGGGAAGGTACCGCAACACTTGAGTTATCAACTAAGACTAAGTATTGAATACATCCTTTTAAAACTAACTTAGTCTCCTTAATATACAAAATTAAATGACCCTTAGGCACAGATTAACTACGACTCCACTCTATGACTGGCTCATTAGGAATCTAAAACGTGACAACTCGAGTTCTACAATCTATTGATGCATAACATGAATGAAGCCAGTCTATATCTAGAATGACATCAAAATCTACAATTTCAAACTTTACTAGATCAGTGATTGTATTCTTCTGATTGATAAAAATAGGACAATCAGGATAGACTATTTCAGCTAGAATAGACTCTCTGACAGAGGTAGAAATATCAAAAGGTTCAGAATGTTTTTGAGGAAAAACCTCAAAGTGATTTGTAACATAAGGAGTTACGAAAGATAAATGTGCTCCTGGGTCTAGCGAAGAATAAATATCAAAAGCATAGACTTTGATCTTACCAATGACAACATCTAGATGGTTCTCTTGTTCTTGGAGTCTAGTGATTGCATAGATGCGGTTTTCCCCTCCTCCAGTAATAGAAGTTGCACCTCTATGTGCATCCTTGTTTGGTGGAGCAACTGATGAAGATTGAGCTCTCTTACTCTCATTTCCAGTACCTTACCTGTTCTTAGGGCACTCCTTCATGAATTAACCCACTTGACTACACATAAAGCAACATTTTTGGATATCACGACATTACCTAGGTTGTAAATACCATACCTAGACATGCACGAGCCCATCTATCTCCTTGTGCAACACTTTCTTGAGACATCATAGTCTAGATCTGTAGTTCTGCGAATTCAAGGCATGATGCTCACCTTTATTTCTAGGTGCACGAGCACTAGACAATGATGGTGCAGGGCCCATTTGTTTCTTGAACTGTGACCGATTCGAAACCATCCTTCTGCTACCTCGACTCATTACTAGTCTAAGCTTTCTTGATTTATACGCTTCTCTTAGCTTCTCCTCTTCAACTTTCTGCATATAAACCTTAAATTTGGATACGTCCATATCACCGATAAATGTTACAACTCTTCCCTTTTTGCTTGATGCACGACCCAAGCCAGCGACAAACAAGCTCATTATTCTTCTTATATCCTTAATTATTTCAGGAGCATAGACGGATAGCTAGGTGAACTTTGATGCGTATTCATGTACACTGAAGGTGTCCTATTTCAGTGTAAGGAACTCTTCTACCTTAACTTCTTTCAGTTCTCGAGGAATGAAATGCCCCAAGAAAGATTCTTCAAAGCAAGCCTAACTCGGATGTGGTGCATTGTCATCTCTGCCTCCATTCCACTGATCGAACCAAATCCTAACCTTATTCTTCAGTTGTTATGTAACTAACTCGATTGTTTCAACATCTACAACATAAATCAGATCAAAAGTTTTCTTGTACTCCTGTAGAATGTTTTCTCAATCCTCAGTAGTGCTCTAACTAGTGAAACTGGGAGGATTCATTCTCAAGAACTCCCAAATCCTCGAAGTGTCAACCCCTTCTTGTTGAGATCCTCTTTCTTGACAAACCTAGTAAGTCACAGCCTGACTCTACATCCTAATGACCTCATGGAACTCAGCGTTGGTAACTTCCCCTTGAGGTTTAATTTCATATGCATTGGGTAACTCTTGTTCACGAGGTTCAAGATTTCTACTATCTGGGTGACCTCGTGCTGCTCTTCATGCAGTAATGGTTATTTGAAATACGTGCAAGAAGGAACATAGAGAGACTTTTAGAGATAAACTCTAATAAAGAAAATGATTATGAAAGAAGCGAGGAATTCCTAAATATTGTAGCCTCCTAATTAGAGATGTTGCGCGCTTCACACTGATGACTAGGACTGTACAGATATGCCTTCATAGACTCTCATAAACACTTGAACTATGTGCTATGATACCATGTTTTTCACCCCTCAAGACAACATCTTGGACGTGGCACCCAATGACAATTGCTTGCCTTGAGCAAACCCTTGGCCTGACTTTCTTAACATAGCAGAATACTTACCTGAATAGTAAAATAGAATTGTTCTCACAAGGATAAGTTTACAAAAATATCTTGTCCAAAATAGCACTTAATTCTAAAAATAAAATATCTGAAATGCGAGATGAAGAGAAACTCAAAACTGATTATATGATTGACTATCCTCCTATGAGGCCTCTATAATACTAAGATGAATGTAGGGAAAACCGCCAAAATATTCTATAAGTAAAAAGACGGAAACAATTAAAGAGTCCTCTAGAATGCAAAGAGGTTCACCAGTGACTCTATGTGCTCACAAGAGATTAAAAGGGCACTAGATGCTGATCGTGGTTACCTGCATCTGCATCATAAGAAGATGAAGGTGAACTTGCATCTGTACATTGCATGTACGAGTATGAGATTTGGAATGCTAACAAAACATAAGCTCGGAAAGAATAACAAGAAAACTTACCTTTGGTCTTCTTAACTCATAATATATTGAACTTAATATAAAGAAATAAAGACACCTATAATATATATATATATATATAATAGAATAGAATATAATTTATGTGGGAGATTCTCTAAATGACAACCATAACTGTGAGACTAATAAATGGTACAACGTCTTACCTCATGTTGGAAGAGAACCATCCTATATCTGCCGCCAATACAATTACTTTACTACGAAGTGGATCCACTAGTCTATGCAAAAAAGCAATAAGGAATCATCTAAAAAGTATGATCCTTCTTATGTCCATGTTGGCTACATGGTTATGGGGGCTTGATTTAATATGAACTCGCGTCCCCATATCGCTGCTTAATACTACACCTCATATAAATAGCTCATCTGTTTTTAAAACAATTTCTTCTATGGTTTGAGGTAATTTCTCAAACATATCTTTCAAATCTCTCTCGAAAATGATAGTTTCCTCTTTACTAAACTAGCCAAAACACTATTGGAACCCTAGCTTCTTTTCTTGCTCAAAATGCAAGTGCATTTGTAATTCTTAGGGAATACTTAGTTCCCTTATAACTTTGAGAGATTAACTCAACTCTTTACTCTTTCCGTATCTTGCAACTTGAGCCTTAAAACAAAGGTAAAACGTTTGTTAAAGACTCTTGGAAACTTTAAGAATTTACTTTTAATTATTCTTAACTTTTAGACTTGACTCTCAATTTTCTTGACTTTGATCTTAACGTTCCTTGAATTTGATTATGTATTCAATGTTTATGATATCATGTTGATGGATGATTTCATGAATTTTAGATGTACGATAGTGTATTAGAATCAACTAAGAAACATTGGTTCATCACTTAGAAACTAGTATGAAAAGATGGGGAATCAATGGGGTATCTAGGCGTCGTTGGCGCTGTGAGAGGCGTGGAGAACCAATCCCCAAACGTCATAAGCCATATTGGAGCGCTCTCTCTACCTTGACACTTCATGGACCTACGTATAGATACTGTCATGTGGGCTATGGGAATTGTAGTGCCCCTGTGCCCTATAAAGCCTCTAACTTCCATGGTTCTTTCCCCAAACACTTAGAATTAATAAAACATGAATACCCAATATATCAACTCAAAAAACAACCCCAAAACACTAATAAAATTAACTCTAGGCATGCAATAACTCAACCCATAAAAATTCAACAATGTTCTTCAAGAACATGACTTTTCATCATGCAATCTACTCAAACTCGTTGAATTAGAAAATTTAGTCTATGGGTGAACTGAACCAACACAAAAGATCTCACATACCTTAAAAGGCATCATCCCCAACAAATTCCACTTGCAATTACTTGGCGTTCTTGGTGAAAAGCTGATCTTTCTTTCTTTTCCTTCCTCTTTTTTCTCTTCTCTAAGCCCTAACCGTAGATTAATTTTTCTAATATGAAATAAACACTTATTTTTATCCCAAATGAATCTTTAAAACTAATTAGCAAAAAGATAGCTGAAGAATCTCATTTGACCTTACTTAAATCCGTAATTGGACTTTCCTCAGTTCAATAATCCAACTTCCGAAAGGCATATCTTCCTCATATAATATTGAAATCGTGTAAACTCGGCACTATTGGAAATATATTTTCAAGGGAATTGCATGTCAAGAAATACCCCTAACTCATTTTATGCTAGAATTATGGCTATCTGAAAATGAACAAAATCACTTCATAAAATTAGAAAATATTTCTAGATTTTCGCCTTTATTTAGAAAAGTGATTATTTTAAATTTCTTATATTATCCTTAATTATTTTGAGTTACTAGATGTTACACTAACTACTGTCCTTCTTGTTTTCTACCATACATTGCAGAAATAGGATTCACAACATAAAGACCACCACCTTTTCCTTCATGAGACTCGGGGTAGACATATTACCTTTGTTGAGCCTTGGAGTCTTAGGAGTACCTTTCTTGGGGAACCTCTTCTTAAAACTCTAATCCTGTCTTGGAATGATTTCCATTTTCCGCCCTTGTCCTCTTCAAATCCCTACAAACTTGCTTATGATTTTTCTCCTCAATTTGTTTATCATGGACCATGAGAGGGTAGATATTTATGCTAGGAATCAAGAAATCCCACCTGCATTAATTGATAACAAGGTTGGATATACCCATGACGAATTTATTCATGTTAGAAATAGCATCCGCAGCCATAGTAGTAACATGTTTTGATAGTTTAGTGAACTTGAGTCTATAATCCTTCACACTCATACTCCCTTGAGAAATATTGATGAATTCTTGCATTTTCCTCTCCCTTAATTCTAAGGGGAAGAACCTACAAAGGAAAGATGTCTTGAATGAAGACCAACTAATCGGACCTTCTCTAACAAGTCTTTCCTCCTTCCATTGTTCATAGCAAACATGATCCTGATCATTAAGTTGATAGGTGGCTAGTTCCTCCTTTTCTTTAGATGACACACCCATAGCCTCTAGCACTTTGAACACTTCATCCATGAGTAATCCTTCACTTTCGAGCCAAAGAAAGTAGGGGGATTCATCCTCATCAAATCCTTAATCCTAGATTCGATAGTACTAGCATTGGTGTTCACTTGCACCCTTGAATACCTAGCAACTTTACTTACACTAGAGTCAAGATATGAATAGCCCTCTCTTATTTCAATATTAGACATATTCCCTTCTTCAATAGGAACTTGAGGTTTTTCAGGATCTTGAGGGGGAATCCCCTTATTCACATTTTCCTCTTAGGCCCATCTAGCATTGTTCCTTGTTGCATTCATTGTCTATAAGCACAAGAAATGGATTAAAAGAAAGGATTAGAAAGAGTTATGACTCTCATGTACAAGACTCTACCTAAGGGTGTAATTTGTGACATCAATCCTACACTATTCTCAACCTTACACTCTATTACCAAGTTTGTAATGATCGAGGAGCACCCCTTAGTCGTAACCGGCGTCTTCATCTTCGAGAGACTTAGACAAGCCCTTAGCATTTGTCAAAGCATATATCATATAATAAAAATACGGAAAAAAATTATAAATTTTACTTTGGAAGTTTAACTTCACTTCCTAAATGAATATAGAATATAAATTCGTCACTCAATACCATCTAACTTCGGATATATAAATTTTTTATTTATCCCTTACATTAACAAGGATTCTAGAATGAGGAAATACAATAATGTCTTCGAACATAAGCAAAGAACTAAAAGCTATATCATAAAGTCTTGTCCTCAGACATGAGTACTCACCAACTTTGAGAAGCAACTTCCAAGTATCCTTGAAAAGCGACGTTGATTAAACAATGGCCCGAACCTACTTTGTTTGAAAAAAAGTGAAGAAAATATGGGTTATTACATTAAACGTCCTAAATATGGCATTTATGCATAAAATCATCAATGCATGTATAAAGGACATGTTAGTGAAAACATACTTTTTTACCAAGTAAATCCAATATACACATAAAGTGAGAATCATAATCCAACTCAACATGATATAATCCCGACATGTATACAACCCTAGCAATACTTGTCCAATGCAAAGAATAGAATCCCCTAACCCTATTCAATGTTATCACATTAAGCAACCTCCTTTATACATAAATTCATAATGTCATATTTCATCATAACCTGCTATATTCATATAGATCATACATCAATGAACATACATG